TGGGGTCCTCTCCAGGGCTACTGCGGGGAGGCCGGGATGGCCATGGGGTGCTTTAGACAATCCCGGAGGCTTCCTGGAAGAGTTTGGCTCCTGACGGACTTTAGTAGCAGACGTGAAGGCAGAGATGTGACGTCCCTCCTGACAGGGGGACAGAGCAGCTGAGGGCTCACTCCCCGCACCGGCCAGGTCTTCCCTAACTCATGATCGATACAGCCTAGTCTCACCAGAATCCACGTGTCACCCTGCCCCAGGGACATAGGGTCAGTGCCCCAGCTGGCCCCTGGGGACCGGTCACCTCGCCCGTTCTGGCCTGTGTGGTGACTGCAAGTGGAGCTATCTTTAACCTCAGGCCGGGAAGCTCCACTCGTAAACAGCTCAGATAGCAGGCCTGGAATCTGGACTCCGGGGGTGGGGGAGGTGGGCGCTGGCTTTACCAAGCAGCTCAGACTGGGCCCCTCCTGGGCTGCTGTGCCAGGTGGTGAGGGGCGGGGACCACGCGTTAAGGCACTCACTCAGCATGTGTCCGCAGGATTCACAGTGGTTACACGTTAGGTTGCTAACGGCAAGGCCAGCAGTTTGAAACCGCCGGCCGCTCAGCGCGTGAAAGATGAGGCCGTCTACTCCTGTGAAGGGTTAGTGTCTCGGAAATCCACAGGGGTAGCTCCACCCTGTCCCATAGGGTGGCTGAGTCCCCACTGACTGGACGGCAGTGAGCTGTTGGCAGGCAGTGCGCTCACGGAAGCAACCCGGGGGCAATCAAGCGCTGGACTGGCTTGGCGGACCTGCTGTGTGGGGCCTCTCGAGGGCACAGCTGTCACCGTGGGAATCAAGGTGGCCTGACCCAAGCCATGGTGTCCTGGAGGCATCAGCTCACCTGCACGCGCAAGGTGGACAATGAGTACGGAAGACGAGGGCAGGTCTGATGTCCTTGAATGAATGAGTTGGTGAGGGATATCCCGAGGGCCGTGGATGGCAAGAGACGGTCAGACTCCATCTCACGTGAGCACACTGCCAACCACATTCATAGCGGACTGCCAGGGCCCTTTTCCCCAAGGAATCTCTGGGTGGACACCAACTGCCAGCCTTTCACTAAGGACTCTTCACCCCGAGGCCCCGGGGAAGGGAAGGGTATGTGGCTGTGCATACTATGGCCCCCCAAAGTCTACACCAGCTCCAGGAAAGCCAAAGAGCTCAGACGGGGGCTTTGCGGCCACAACCTTCTATCCAGGGCAGCCGGGGTCGGACTGGACACAGGCTAGCCGCCCAGCGACCCAACACCAGCACCCCTCTGGCATCTTCACAGTTCCCCGACACTCCCTGGCCTTAGAGACAAATGCTGGTACCCTTTAGGGATCTCTTCCTGTTGGTGTGACCTGGAGACAGGTGTCTGGGCTGTGTGGGAAATCCTCGCTTCCTCCTCCTCTGGCCATGACCCCGGAGCGGACCTTCCCCTCAGGACCTGGGCTGTGCACATGATGGGGTCTGACTCTGGGCAGCCCTGTGTGTACATATGTGCAGCTAACGTGCTCAGGCTCTCTGAGCCGTCAGAGCACTAGGCCTGACTTCCGGAGAGTCCTCGGTGAGTTCGTTCCACAAGCCTTTCAGGCTGGGGGCTCCAATGGGGGAGGCCCCTGGGCTGCTCATTTGTGACTCCCTGTGGCCCACGGACATGTCACAACTCATGAGGGGCGGTGGTTTGAGCCCACCTGAGGCCTCTGTGGGGAAACTAGCCTCTCGACCTGCTTCTGTGTAAGGTGACCAGGGCCACCAAACCACCTGTGCACACGGCGCCTCCCAGGAGTCCGAGCAACTCACAGGGGTCTCCCGCACACCGTACTGTGCCTTTCTTCCCTCCCCTCAAGCCCGCTCCTGGCCCTAGCCTGTCAACTGGCTTTCACGGGGGACTGTCTGCCCCCCAGCTTAAGAGACAGGAGCCGAGACTCACACACGCAAGCACCCGTCTTGTTTCTTTATTCTGTGCTATGGAGGGCGGGGACTGCAGTCCCAGGGCCGCTGCTGACAGAAGACCTTGGGGGCCTCGCAAATAAATAACCTTCGACCTAACACTGCAAACTGCACACCCAAACATCAAGGGCGGATTCCCTGCTACAGCCAGCCGGGCCAGACCCCCGGCTTCGGCCTGGCGCCGAGGCTGCCGTGATTGGGGGCGGGAGGGGGCAGAGCTCCCAGGCTTGACCTTCCTCCAGAGCGACAGGGCAGCTGTCTCCCCAGGAATGGCTTCTCCTGCCAAGACCCAGCTAGCACCGCCGGGCAGTGGCCTCGCCCCTGCACCCAACCCTGAGATCGGAAGCCAGGTTTGGCTCCAGCCCCAGCAGACTCGACTCTGACCGTGGTGAGCCAGCTGGCGCCTTGGATGTGCACCATGCTGGGGAGGTTGTCGGGAAGATGCACATTTCCGGCTTCTGAAAGATGGCCCCGGGGCAAGGGACCCCCGTTGTGCCCGGTGCCTTGTTACTGTGGGCGCAGAGCTGGGAGTGTTTTGCTGGGACGATAGACCCAGCCACCACGCTCACGCTCTCCCACTGGGTGGAGCCCTGTGGCCTTGCCCGGCTCCTCGGTCACTCAGCCTGATCCCCGACTGGAGAGAAATTAAAATAAAAAAGGATCTGAAATGAGGACTGCGGGCTGGGAGGTCCAAGGCAAGGTTCTCAAGTGAAGTTCATAAAACGTCGGGTTGCTTACGTCAGACCACAGAACACATGCCCTGAGCGCCTTCGCCGTCCAGGCCTGGAGACACACCTTGCGGCTTGGCTTTTGGAGACCAACCAGGCACGGTCGCAGAGGTGGCAGGAAGACCCCAGGTGCACACGTGCCACCCGCCCACTTGTCGGACAAACAAAACACCACACCCACTGCAAGCTTGGCAAGGGGCAGGCTGTGCCGGTGCTGAAGGGGGAGTGGTGGGGTCTCTCTGCCGGCTTCCGTTTCCAGCGTTTGCCCTAGGCAGCTCGCTGGTCACAGCCCCGCATCTGATTTCTCCTGGCCGAGGGAGGGGAAGGAGGCCTTCCTCCTGCCTGTGTGGAGGGTGGCGGCTCCCAGCCCACCACGTCCGAGGAGGCAGGTGGAGGGGGTTGTGGATGGACGGGCTCCGCAGAAAGCCCTGGTGCGTGTTCTGAAAGCAGGTGCACCTGCGGCCCACCGGCTCCTCCGAAGCCCGTCTGCCCCGCTGCCCTGGGCTCCCCCCGCTGGGGCCACTCGGTGGGGCCCAGGTGGCTGCCGGGGCAGGTCAGTGCAACTCAATGAAGGCCTCCAGGTCCTCGGGGATGAAGCCCTTGTAGGGGATCTTGTTCTTGTCCAGGGCCCGGGCGGCCAGGCACTGCAGGGTCACGTAGTTGAAGGGCTGCATGGTGCTCTTGGCCAGCAGCTTCTCGTCCAGGAGCTCGTAGGCAGTCTTCTTGAAGGCGTTGGTGGCGTCCATGTGGGCGCCGGCGTCGATGAGGGCGTTCATGATGGCCGGGCAGTTGTTCTGGGCAGCGATGTGCAGCGGCGTGTTGTTGTCAAAGTCCCGGCTGTCGGGGTCGGCCCCGCAGCTCAGCAGCACGTGGACCACGTGGAGGGAGGGGAACCGGCCCACCGGGTAGCGGCCCACGTTGGTGGTCTCCTTGTCCACCGCCATGTGCAGGGGCGTGAAGCCGTTCTTGCCGCGGGGGGCGCACTTGAGCAGCCGGTAGACGGTCTGGTGCTTCAGGTGCTCTTGCTCCGGGCTGCACTCCACCTTCTCCAGCAGGTAGAGCAGGTGGAGGATGATGGCCAGGGCCTTGGTGAACTGCGCGGAGTCGCCTGGCTCCTTGGGCAGCTGCAGGGCCCTCTCCACCTCGCGCACCCCTTTGCTGAGCACGCCCATGAGGTCTGCGAAGCCGATCTGGGGGCCCAGGCTGCCCTTGGCAGCGCGGTCTTGGAGCACGTAGGAGAAGAGCTCGGCGAAGGAGAGGAAGCTGCTGGCCGTCATGGGGCTCAGGGGCTCCAGGTGGCTCTGCTGCATGTCCAGGGCGTACTTCCACAGGCGGATGCAGCGCTGGAAGTTGCCGGAGTCTGCGTACACGGCTCCCCGGTAGCGGATGTAGTAGGACGTGTCCGGGTGCGAGGGCCCCAGGATGCGCTCGCGGATCAGCAGGGCCTGCATGCGCATCTCATCGGGGTCCGTGATGAGCGCGTCCAGCTCCTCGGCCGTGCTCGCCTCCCGGGAATAGTCGTAGGCCAGCACCAGCTGCGGGGGCTCGGGCTTGGCCAGGTACGCGCCGCCCAGGTGTCGCAGCTCCATCGCCCGTCGCCAGTGTCTCAGGGCGCCCAGCAGGTCGCGTTTCTTGTCCACGTAGGTGGCGCCCAGCAGCTCCAGGGCTTCCACCGCGGCCTCCCGGCTGGTGGGGCAGCAGCGCTCGTGGGCGACGCCGGGCTCCTCCGGGGCGGGCCGGGGCCCGGCCTGGGCCCCCGGGGCGGCCTGCTCGGGGCCGGGGGGCTCCTGGATGAGGTACTCCACGATGTTGGTGTGGCCCGTGACGCTGGCGGCCAGCAGCGGGGTCATGCCGTAGCCGTCGCGCTCCATGCGCGCGTGGCAGCCCAGCAGCAGCTGCAGGATCTCCAGGCTGCCGGACTCGGCGCAGTCGTGCAGCGCCGTGTTGCCCTTGGCGCTGCGCCGGTTCACCTGGGCGCCCTGCTCCAGCAGGTAGCGGGCGATCTCGCGGTGGCCCTTGTAGCACGAGATCATGAGGCACGTGTGGCCGTGGCGGTTGGCCACCTCCAGGTCGGCCTGGTGCTCGCCCACCAGGTAGCGCACCACCTCCAGGTGGCCGTCGAAGCAGGCGGCGCGCAGCGGCGTGGAGTTGGTGCGCGTGGTGCGGTTCACCGAGGCCCCGCGGCGCAGCAGGCTGCGCACCACGTCCAGGTGGCCGGCGGCCGAGGCGGCCCACAGCGGCGGCGCGCCCTCGATGGTCTCGCCATCGAAGTGCACCGAGCCGCCGGCCTCCACGCTCGCGCCGCACCGGTCCACCAGGTACTCCACCACGTCCAGGTGGCCGTAGCGGGCGGCGATGAGCAGCGGCGTCCCCCCGCCGGCCACCTCGCCCGTCAGCTCCTCCAGCTCCTCCCGGCTCCGGCCGCTCAGCAGCTTCTGAAGCAGCTGCAGCTTGCCGTCGCGGGCGGCGTTGTACACGGCCGTGCGGAGGTCCATGGCGCGGGCCTCCGGCAGGCCATGTGCTGGCCGCTGCGGGGCGCGCGGACGGCGGCCTAGAGCCCCAAGGCGCCGACCGCAACCTTTCCCGTCTCCCCCGCCGCCATTTTAGGGTCTCCTCAGGCGGAACAAAATGGCGGCCGTGGCCCGGCGCCGTGGGGCGCGGGGGAAACCGAGTGCGCAGGGAGATGTAGTCCCCCGAACCGGCGCATCCGCAAGGCAGAGACGGAAGAGGGAGGGCTCAAGACTACATCTCCCAGAAGGCCGCGTGCTAGACCGGGCGAACGGTGTGCACGGAGCTTGACGGGAATTGCTGTCCGACGTATCGCCGAACGTGTCGGAAACTGGCAACGCGAGAACTACCATTCCCGTCGTGCAACGGCCTCTCGCTCGATTGCGGGACCCGGGGCAATTTGGTGACGCACTTCCGGTTGCTCTCACGACCCGAGCAAATAGGAAACGCAGGTGCTGGACCCAGGCCTCCATTCTCCAAAGGCATCGCGGGAAGGCCAGAGCCAATCAGGAGCGAGGGCGTGGCCAGGTGTCGATTTGGGCGGCGCAGAGGGCCTGGCGATGCCTTGCAGGTCCGATCAGAGTCCGCGCTCTGCTTCCATAAACCTTTACCGCCTCGGATACCCACAGGGGTAGTTTTTCTCTGTCTTATAGGGTCGCTATGATTGGGAATCGACCCGAAGCAGGGTTTTCGGTGTTGTAAAAATTGTTTCTCACATCATACTTAACACCCATGGAAACCGTACCGTGGATGTCCTTTGCCTCCTGGGTCTTCCCGCTATTTCCTTTTCTCTTGTTCCCACCGTCATGTCCGGCCTTTTTAGTAATTCCTGGCTGTTACATTGCTCTAGGTCAGGGGTGTCAAACTGGTGGCCCCCCAAGGTAATTTTTTGTGGCCCACAAGATGCTCTGAAATAAAATGTAACAAGGGGATTGTGTGTACGGTATTGCCTCCATCTCCCCCAAGCGCTATTTTATCCATAACAATTTTTTTCTATGTTCATTTTATTTCAGAGCATTGTGGGCCACAAAACATTTCCTTGGGGGCCGCATGCAGCTCTCAGGCTGCCAGTTTGACGCTGCTGCCCTAGAGCAGCGGTTCTCAACCTTCCTAATGCTGCCACCCTTTAATACAGTTCCTCGTGTGGTGGTGACCGCCCCCCCCAGCCCTAAAATTATTTTCGTCGCTACTTCATCACTGTCATTTTGCTACTGTCATGGATTGTCATATAAATATCTTCTATGCAGGATGTATTTTCATTGTTACAAATTGAACATCATTAAAGCATAGTTATGAATCACAAAACGTCATTATATATTGTGAAATATTTATTTCTGATGACAAATCAATGAAATTTTGTCTTGAAGCATGATGTAACATGGGTAACAGTCTTCAGGCTGGGAACTCATATATGGGTGTATCTGCATGTGGGTGGACCCACCTAGAGATGGATAGAGGAGTGGTGTCTTGGTTCATAAGACCACTAGAAATAATGTGTTTTCTGATGGTCTTAGGTGACCCCTGTAAAAGGGTTGTTCAGCCCCCATAGGGGTCAAGACCCACAGATTGAGAACCGCTGCCCTAGATTAAGCCACACTAAGCATCCTACGCCCTTTCCTCCGTTAATTTTAGTTTACTTGTTCCCTTGTCCCTGGGTTGGCTGCCCCCACTCCTTCCTTTCTTCCACCTCCCCTAAGAGAGGAAAGAACCAGGAGGCAAAGGACATTTATAGAGGTCTAAATACAGGCATGTACATATGTATTTAGATATATTTATGGATAATGAGAGGTACATAGACCTATGTACTTATATCTATATGTTAAAAGAACTAAGGTAGCAGGTGGACATTGGACATCAACTCAAGTACTCCCTCAACACAAGAACACTTTGTTCTGATAACCCGGCATTCTGTGATGCTCACCTCCCCGACAACACAAAATGGGTGCATAAGCAAATGTGGTGAAGAAAGCTGATGGTGCCCGGCTATCAAAAGATACAGCATCTGGGGTCTTAATGGCTTGAAGAGAAACAAGCGGCCATCTAGCTGAGAAGCAACAAAGCCCACA